AAAATTGTGATTGCTAGGTTGCTATGATATTCGTCGATTTATCGATTTAAATGATGTTATATTCCTATTTCGGAATTTCATCTTTGCTTTCTGGGTGAAGTAACCATTGCGGATAATATTTTTAATTGCTTGTCATCAATTCTTACGGTTTTCATCGTAGGATACTCTCCATTCTTTCTTTATTCCAGTTGGTTAGTCAGTTATTCTCCAAAACTGCTCAAAGCGTTCTCGGGATGGATGGTTAGACTAACACATCCCATTTCATTTTCTCCAAGGATTTTTTTGAGATGGCATGTTTTCTCTTTCAAATAAATTTGGTGAATTCTAAAAAACAGAAAAGTTGACATCTTCCACTCCAAAAGAAGTTGAATCGAAATGACATTCACTCAAAACAGGCTTCTATCAAAGTTGGAAAATGAAACTAATATATTTGATTGTCCGCCGACTATTAAGGGACTTAATAATTTGGTGCTACAATAATGATTAATACTGTCAATAATGTGGTAGTATTTAAGTACCATCTACGTATCATTAAAGCCTCTCCTGGAAAACAATTTTTTGTGCAATCTGTCAAATGTTGTTTCTGGTGATCTTGTCTAACTTCCATTCTGCTACTTCATGAGGAAAATAAGGCTATTGAAATACGTACAAAATTTTTATCTTTTAACTTAAATGTTTAATTTGTTCTACTAATTAACTTCTCAATTTTGATTTTACGAATTTTCTGAAGGTCAATTTGACTACAATTCATTCTCCCTCTAGTTGACTTCTGATCTAGTTTATGGTGAATATCGGATACCGTTCTCGAAAATCTATATTCCCGCAAAATCGATCAATTAAACTCTTTAGAATGGGGCTTCCCGCTTTGATCAAACCGAATTGAATGGACAGTGGAATTTCTTTCCATTGGGTCTTCTTACATCTTAATAGGCCTTGTTGGGTGGAAAGTGATTTCCACCCGAGAAATTGTAAATTTGGTAATTCCTTTGTTAAGATTTATTTTAATCTGCTTAAAAATAGTTCCATCTTTCTTAATAATCTGAGCCATGCTTATTGATTGGTCATAGGTTGTTTCAAAGTATTCTTTGGATTCGTTCATGGGAAGAGGTGACTCGATGAGAAGTGAAAAATTTGGAAAGACAGAAAACGCTTCTGCATCGATCTGTTACAATACCTAAATATTGTAAGCAATTGAGACATTCTAGCAACTAGAAGTCTCCATTATTTTTATTACTGAGACTGTCTCCGATGATATCCTACCAAGCAGTATTGATAGTGTGGATGATAAAGATTATCCTTTCTCAGATTTTCTGAGTCTTTCCCCTTCAATAACTTAAGGACTAATCGAAGTCGTAGATAACCAACTTTTTCGTATCAGGAAACTACAAATGATCAGTTGTTTTCGTTCTTATAAATAGGTATTTTGGAAATACTTCATTATATTACTCTGTTGGAAAATGCTTCGAACATGCAGGAACAGCCGAAACTCCAGCCAATACCTTTGTCTGCGATTAGTTTCGGTGACAGGGAAGACCGGCTAAGACCATGTCTTCTTTGATGTAAGTTTTTCTACAGCGACACATATAGCAGACTCACAGCTGTTCAGCCTCGACGGTCTAGGTCAACTTGGACATTTTAGATGCTTCTCTATATGCTATCTTTAAAAGATTTGTTCTTCCATGTTTACGACACCAATCTCTCCCTGATACATTCAAACAAAGGCTAATATAAAGCCTACATAATCTCCTCCCTCTCCCCATCTCTTCCTAACAATCATCTTTCGAGTCGTTCAAGCAACAAGATTCCAGAAGAATTCATAGCTTAACCTAACTAAATACACAGATCTCAGCTGCAATATTTGGAAAGTAAGAAATAGCTTAACCCAGATTCTCCCTTTTCTCCTTATGTCCTTCATTGCCCCTAGAATTCTAGTCTGCATACTTCGATTATTAGCAGATTTTTTGAGGTATGCGGCCATCGTTGAAATCAAAGGACATTGAAAATTGCCGTAAACAGAGAGTCTTCTTTTGATGCTGAAAGGTTTCAAATCTACCAGTGGATGTTCCCACCTGCGGTTACATATTTATATATGCCCTATTGATCAGAGGTTACCCACTTAATTGGTAACCCTGCCTTTCACTATTCCTGGTCGAATTAAGTTAAGATTGAGTCGTTTAGATTTATGGATTGAAATCGACTTGGTTTTTTTACATTACCGTGAACGACGAATTTCGTTTATCAACTATCAGTCTTTGCACATGTTGTCTTTATAGTTTCCATTATCTGTCGGCTCGAAAGTTGTACCGATATAAATGATCTGTTTATACCTTCCTTAGGTTATCAGTTGTGGGGTCATCCTTGATGAAATTTAGTTGCCTATTTTTTGAAGTTATTTGCTCAGCGAAGCACATATATGCCCCGATATTCATTTGTAAATTTAATTGAACATTCGTGTAAAAGAAATTACTTAGACAGAAGTCTGTGGCTTTCTCGGAAAAGTTGTCTAGGAAAAATGCAGCAGATCGAGCCCTGAGGCCAATTCATTTTTTGAAGAACAACGGAGTGACAACTCTATTAGATTTCGTGCATGGCTACCCAATTTATATTAGCTTAGTAATGGTAGAAGACGAGCGCCCCCCCCCCCCCCAACCAGTTAGCGTGTTTTGAAAGATTGAACTGTGACAGCTCTCCCTTATCTGCGTTCTCATAGCTGCCAGTCGCAACTTGGCAAATTGCGGCGTCTAATTGAGGACACGATTTGGATTACGAGGACACAAGGTGGTGTCATAATTTGATTAATTCGTTATTTCTACTTAATTTACTCCATTTTCAAGGGGATTTGTAGGATAATTTTTAATTCAGTTAATGGGCTCCTAGTGCTACTTGTAAAATTTGGCCTTCGAGGTGTCCTACGCCTTTTCTAGGCGAGACTGGTATTATCCCTTGAAATCAGAATTCATTACCACCAACTGAAATAATACATTATAATAAGCTTAATTAATCCAAGGGGCGTCGTTTTGTTGTCGGCATCTCTGTGGCAACTTCATTTCCACTTATCAATTTAGAGTTTTTAAGGATGGGTCCTCCTCACATAACCAGCTAATCATGTTACTAATTTTGGGCATGAGTCCACTTTGAGATCAACACGCGCTCGTGAGAGCGAACCTAAACCCAAAACATGCAATTAAATTGTTCTCTGCTGATTAAACGTGAATGTAGAAATTTAGTTAGCTATCGGTTTCTCTGGGCTTTGATGAGGAGAATTAGTCAAGTCAGACCCGATTTGACCGCTTAAGTCTGCTATCGCCAGGGCCTCTAACGGGTTACTGAATAGGGGTCAGAAAGCTGTGCCATGGCAGATTCATTCAAATTGATCTAGCGACAATTTCTTGCTCTAGTGAAAAAAGTATTAGACTATATCTACTTCAACGAGCAAGATTTATAACTTTACCCACATGGTATATAGGTTTATTTTACATATATGGGTGATTGAACTTGGTTTTCAGTCATTAGGTCGGAGGCTTTGTGTGAACGATTTTGCTGTCACAATAAGATCTGAATGCATGTTCGTATTTTTTCAATATTTTCATAACTTTAAGTGTGAAACTGCTTAAGCAGGATAGCAAATAAGCCTAAATTAAAACTTTTCACTAAGAGGCTTGGATGAAGCATTTATTATTTCCTTTCAGCTTCCTATTCAGACTTTATTTGGTGCTAAGGAATTAACTCGAATACAGACAGGTGATTAGTTTTGACAATTCTCGTTTTTACACCAATTAATATAAGCATTCCGTTATTTGGAAAGTGCAATCACAATAGAAATTGTACTAATGCCAAATTTTAACTGACACCTTTGTGTCACTAGAGGTGGCAAAGTATTATTATTAAGTATTATAAGATTAAGTAGCTCCAAATAGTTAAGACAACTGCCGCTATTAAACCGACTTCTAAAAGATTTACTTTGTATATTAGCAATCTTGATAAACTTTACTCCCATTACAATTTTTCTTATAATCACTTGTACCTTCAAATATTTCATTTTACAACTTAATAACATGAGCGATTGCACGCTAATTATGAATTTAACTGATCAATTTCATGCCTAATCGATACAAGAATAGGTCCAATAGTGCCATCAACTGAGAAGTCTTAAGATGCGGATTGACGCCCACCTATTGAACGCAATTGCCAACAGTACATGCTAACAAGGTAAATAGCAGATAGACTCCATGATAATGCCTCATTACTCAAGAAAAATGTAAGTAGACATTTCCCTATGTGAATGTGGAAGATCTCATTCACTGCACAAGGGCAGGAGAACTCACTTTCCCAGTGAATCATTATTATCGAAACAGCATAAAAATAGATTCAGTAATTGGAAGGCCATCTGCAAGTCCGCAGTTCTAACCATTAATGTAAGCTTTAAACTTTCCCAACAACGCAGCATATAATTTTCGTAATTTTCTACTTCCACCTAGGGCAACTGAATGAATAAATTGCTATAGACTCAATCTCCTTTTCCTTGAATTTAATTATTCCATACCTGTAGACTTCTTCAAGTCTCGGCTATTTTCAAAAATTACTATTTTTAAGTAGACTTATAGGAGTTGAGATCAATGGTGAAAAATAGTTGAGAAGAGAAACGAACATTTGTTACTCCCATTATCATTTAAATCAGCACAAATGACTACCACGGTAGGTGGTGGTCTTCATTTTCACCAGAAATTTACACTTTCTTATTTTGTTCCTAATTAAACCTCTTTCTGAATAATGTCTTGATAACCTATATAAACTCAATTTCCGTTAAAGTAGACTTTTACATAGAACTTCAGAATTCGTATCTGGTGCTTTGGTTGAACTTTTCTCTCAACGGCCAATCACAATTCACTAGATGTTTACAAAGTAAGCACCTGAAGGTAGGTGTAACCAATAAGAGCAATCGGTTTCTATAAAGTAGCCAATTACAATTGATTACTAACACCAAATCATTACTATAAATAATGAGAGTTTTGGTTATAATTTTTCGACGATTTGTGCTATTCGACGAAGTGATGAATCCGTTAGAAGTTATTCAAAATACCTGGACTAAAGGGAGGTGCTATGGCTATGTTGACGACATTGCAGAGGAAGAAGAATTGCGAAATGCTGAAGTCGGTCCTCGTTATTACATCCATCATCACAGACCGGGTAAGGGTTGCCGGAAGGACGAGTGCAAAAACTGTGACGTAGACCCTCTCATAGTTAGTACAAAGGGCCTGCTAGAAATTCTACAAGCTGATAACATGGAGTTCGTTAAACCATCTGCTTTTAATATGGTAAAAACAACTCCAAATGTGGTTCGCCTTAAATTGAATAAAAAAGAAAAAGCGAAGATCGTTGTGGGATCGGAACTGAGGGTGCCAACTGGACACGTGCTAACGCCTGCTACGTGCACAAGATACGCGGCAGTCTGCGAAGGCTGCCGGAGTAGCGTCTATAGAACTCGGTATCTTTACTGTAAAAATTGCCCTGTAGTTATTCATAATCATCGAAAATGCAAAAACCTACTGAAAAACAGGTGCCCGGCGCCAGAGCTCGGCATTTTCGGTTGGGGAGAGGGTAAGCTTTCCTTATTAGCGTTCATAACATATTTGCTTTTTATATTTCTTCTTTGAGAAAGTTGATTTACCTAGATAAGCAGATGAATACTTAAATTTTGTTGTTTCAAATTAGGGACTTACTTGACCACGTTTTTGGTAATCGATTCTTGATGTCTGAATTATATTACCGCCAACATGTTACTGAAGATAGATTTCTGATTTACCAATAAGGAACTTAGTACACGGTAATTAAGCGTAGTTAAATGACAGGCAATGACAATTTTTCGCCTTCTTAACTGCCTAAGTTATGAATATACTGACATCTTACTGGCTGAACAATTGACCAATAAAATAATATTCGAGTAGCATAACTAAATCGTATAATTGAATATTACAAAATGGCCTTTTGCCTTTATAATGGTAATAATTTATCATTCTCGATTGGAAGTAGTTAATTTGTTTTAGATTTTGTGCATTCTATGCTTTCATTACCATCAAAGTTACTTAAAGTGCAACCTTATTTCTCATATCTCCTGGTGACAGGGAAAGCCGAGCCAAAGAAAATGCTGAGACAAGTCTTTGATCTGGATGACGTCATGCTGAGTGAACCATTAGATGACAACAAATGTGGCGGATGCGGACGTGTTTTGGATCCCTTGAAGGGCCATCCCCCTCCTCCTCTGCCTGACCCCAATGGACCTCAACCAGAACTCAAAGGTCCGTTTAAGGGGCTTCGTCGAAGTATTTCGAAGGTCCTGCATGGAGGGAATACGAAAAAGAAGAGGCCAAAATTAGAATGTGCAAAGAAAGTCTATGTCTGCCATTTCACCAAAAAACATTACTGTGAAAATTGTCACTGGAATGATCACTGGTATATTCCTCCCTCCATGATACACATCAATGATTACTCCAGGGAGCCTGTGAGTTTGATTGTCTTCTCATTCCATTTTGAAAACATATTAAGAACGTTACGAATATTTGTCAAAATCCGCTTCCAAGCAAATGGTGATAGAATATAACAGTGTGATTCAGGTTTCACGATGCCAAAGTTCTGTCATCTTAAGAGGGGATATAATGGGCGTCACATATGTAGGCTCTGAATATGGCGTTCAACTCATGATAAAATGAAGACTGTTAATTGTCTCATAGTTACCGGAAAAATTTTATTCATTGGCATGATGGTCAATTACCCTATATTTGCTGGTAGTGGATACCTATTGTTGTGGATGTTCCATTGCACCGATTAAATTCGGTTATTAAGAGGCTCGGCAGAATGCCAGCTTTTCACTTGAGTTGCTTCACCATACTCTTCCCCTAAAATGTTGCGTCGACGATGCAGTCAACAATGAGTAAATGTTCAGAAAACAACAGGTTATCATGATGTGTCCTACTTTAGGTTTGTCGGGCAGCATACTTAAAATTACGAGTACTATGGGATACCGCGGTTGTTGCTATCCCCGAAGAATGGTTCTTCGATACCGAAACGGGCAGTAAGTTTTATTATATCCGGAATAAGCTCAAAATAATGATGCGCTATATCAGTGTTTGCTCGACCGCTCAAAACATGCGTAAATATCTCGATGTGAGTTCTCAATCCTCTTTTTAACGGGCAGATACATTGATTTTGTGCATTCATATCCTTCTGACTTTCCTGTTTGGTATAGGATTTACACGCTCCCCACCTTCTTGAATGCTGTACCCTCCTTCGCATGGTCGATCTCTGTCATGTTGTTGAGGGAGATCTTTATACTAAACTAAAAGCTATTGAAGAGGCCTTTGAAGCCCATGTCAATAAGTGCTCGGTAAGTCTTCATAACTGCACAAGTAATATCTAATTGAGCCCACATTGACTTTCAATTCCAATTCTAGATGTGTCTGAGCATTAATTTGAAGTGTTGCGTTTGTCGCGAAGGCCAACCCCTTTTGTATTATGCGGATGATGTGGGTATTTGCCATAAATGCGATCTTCCTTATCATCTGTGAGTTGAATTGTCTGTGTGTAAAATATGCCGTTATTTACTTCAGAAACTCTTTGTAACTTGACATCTACTTTCCGTCTCTAGGGAATGCAGACGCAAACATTGCTGTAGGTGATCAAACGTGAAAGCTTCGTTTTATTTAAACTAGTTAAACTATTATGACTTTTTATTGCTATTGCTATTTTTTGGAACGTATGAAAGTGGCTGCAATTTTTTGTATCAAAATATGCCTTTTCTGTCTTTCTGGGTGGAGTTGGGGTATATGGGTTGAAATTGTTATGCAGCATCATTTGCGGGTTATTGATTGGCGAAATTATCTCCAAATCCAGGTAAAGGGACTTTGATATCCACCCCTGGATTCCATAAAAAGGGTTAGCATCAGTGGCCATCCTTATCCATGATTCTTGATACAAGGTATGAGAAAAGGAGTAAGAAGATTTACCAGTCATGAAATGGTCCCAAATAAGTTACTGGATGAGACCGTGGGATTAAAGAAAAATGAAAATTATGAATCTTGTCGACATTGGGCTTATTGGCATGAGTGCTTCTATTTGGGTTGGCAATGTTGCCACCGCAATTCTAATTGTTTTGTAGTAGTGAGCTTGATGGCTGAATATCGTCAAACGAACAGAAAACACAAAGCGATTTCAACTTTGACCTGTTTCTTCCCATTAGTGATTCCATCGAAAATCTTGCGTCGAGTTTTCCTGTCATTGCTCCCTCCTCATTTCTTAGAACTTCTTCTTTTCTTTCTCTTGGTTCGGATCAATCGTTTCTGATACATGAGGTGGAATAATGCATTCACATTTCACTTCGCTTTCGATTCAGGTCTGAAACCAGTAACTATCAGTGAAACATTTTTCAGAATATTGCTTTCTCTTCTCTCTATTCTTTCTGTAAAATTTACTTTCTATTTAATTCCTCTCCTGCTTTTTACCCTAAACACCATTCTTCATCTAGTCTGGCAATTGGTTCTATCACTGTTGACTTGGTCTTCCACCAAACGGTCGAAGAGAATGGAGATGGTTAATATTGAAACCTGGATTTTCATCATTTTTTAGATTTCGATGTAGTTCTGCCGTGTTGGGTCAAATTAAATTGTATTTCACTCTAACAACATTTTATGTCCCCTTAGATCGCCTGAAAAATGCATTTAAAATGCGTTATAAAAAACTTGAATGTTCATTATTTCAAAATCTATTCTGAGTGGTTTAGTAGAAACTTTAATCTTGAGGTCGACTTTTGTTAGAATACTTTTCCTATTGAATAGAAATATGAATGATAGTACTGAAAGATGAAATATTTTAAGGTCATATTTGTTTAAGTTTATTATCGATACATTTTATATCTTCACCCTTGTATGCCATATTAGCGTCTATTCTTGTACTCCGGTATCTTTTGATTTGTAGTTGTATTGCTAAACTGGATTACAAGTGAGATATGAGCTTCAGTAACAACTCTCGTTGACGAAAATGACCCAGTTCAGTTATCACTGCTAGAATAATTAGATTTTAAAGGTGTTCTGTGAATATTTTCTTTATTATTTTAGATGGAGTTTGTAGCGGGTTGCTACAAGAATGACCATTGATATACCTTCAGTAATCTCCGTGTCAGCATCGCCTGTTTGAAATGGATTCTGGGATTAGCTTAGCTACCCCAACGATATATACAAGGAACAGACATGTGACGTGGAATGCGTTTATTTGAGCCATCCGTCAAGGAGCTTAGCCAATAAAATATAATTAAGAGTTTGATAAACAATACGAAGACAATTGATTTGCGGTTGACTAAGAGTTCTCTTCGCTCACGACAGCACGTGACCCCTAAAGAGATCAGCATCATGCCGCATGTTCCAGAATGTTCTTGCGTGCATGGGATTTCTTAATTAACGTTGTATTCTCCACCGGCTCTCCCAGTAATAATTCGTCGATGCAAGACAAAGAGTATCACTATGACTACTGAGTCGTTATGTTTATTTCAGTTCTGACACATCATTTGAATTTTCAAAGCAGCAACCCACTGGTTAAATGAAGTTTTTTGCTGTTTTCTGGACTGCTATAAATCCTTTTTGCAAAATCATGTACGTATAACTGCAAATGTTCATTTAAAGATCCGATTTACTTAATCAAATGCAATTTGAGAAGGTTTGTAAAATCTAAAACTGGAAAAATTATAATCACTCACAACATTAAACAAAGTTTTAAAAAGGTTTGATTGTGGGAACCGACTTGTGTCGAAAAACTGTAGGGATAAAAGTGGTACATAGAGGAGAAATAAGATAACAAAGAGTTTTACTCCATTTAATTCTTGAATTCGGATTTCGCCATGTTTGTTAAGTGGGCTATTCTTGTTGCGAAATTTAAAGTACATGCTTTGTCTACCTGATTGCAGTAAATTGAGGAGAGCGCAGCGCTAACATGTCTGAAGCATTGAAGCCCTTGCGTGCTTGAACTTTCTGGAAAGTGAGACGTGATGATGATCTTACATGGGCGCAAAAGAGGTCACTTGTGTAGAGGCCTCTCAGCTAAGGAGTAATTATTAGTCATGGCATGGTCAATGCAGTCGAAATTGCATTTAATGACTACGCTCATTGTGTGTTACTCTCAGCCCAGAGAGAGTACTGAGCATAAATCAAGGTAGTAATCCACTACAAATTGTTTGCCTACGGTATTGGACATTTATTGATGAGTACGTTAGCCAAACAACGTCGGTCTCATCACTTCAATACATTTAAATATAGTGGAGGTTGCGCAATCAAAATTCTAAGTTAATAGACCTCTGTCAGCCGCCTACATTCACAAAGGGCTTTAAAATGGAAATGTCTCATACAAACTACTTGATATTCAATGCAGCCTTTGGCAGTTCAATTGCTAAAACTAACCAAAAAAAGTGCATTAAGGGATAAAAGGTTTAAGATAAAATCACATGCTTCTAAAACCACAAAACAGACAGGGTTACTACTTGTCATAGTGGGTTTAGAATTATAAATTAAGAATGAGGTTAGTGCAGAGGGGGCGAATAAAGGTTTTTCCATCGCGATGGAAATACACAAAAAAGCATCGACTAAAACTAAGTAATCTCTAATGCCAGGAAACTGAGCGCATGGCGTGGAATGTATTAATTGAGGTCGTGATGGTTAGGATTGTAATGCCCCTGGCACAGAGTTTAGACATTAACTACGATTTAAGTTACGCCGACAATGCATTGACTATTGGCTGTTGATAGGTTGAGAGGTTTCAGAACTCGCGCCCTCAGCACGATTACCAGGATGACTGAACGTTCCAGAAAACTTGAGCACACATGATATTCCTTTCTTTAGCAGTACTAGTGGAGTGAACTCAGCAAATTCAGAAAATTTGTTATTAAGTCGTATAAATATTCATAGGCAAATAAATTCAGCCAAAAGGATGTAAACAAGAAAAATATTTTTTCTTACGGAGGTTCTTAGTTGGAGGAATAATGCATTAGGTAATGAATAATGAAAATCCAATAAAGACATGTTAAGTTAATCATAATTTTTTCAGAAATTTCTATTTTTCCTGTTTAGTCGGGCATACAACCACCAATTGCAAAATCATAAGCTTATGGGCATTTTAAATGGAACGAAATTTCGTGCCACATTTATTTCCACGTTTGTCAATAGATAATATGGCCATAGAAAGAAAATTACGTGATTTATCGCTTTCGTTTAACAAACTATATTTTGTCCTAGAAATTTTTCAGGCTCGACTCTGTTAGATCTTTGCAATATATTGTTTCGTCACCATTTGTTTGTTACTTTTTTGGGGAAATTTCTGGGAGCATTTGCTTTGAAGTTAATATTAGGACAAAGTAATTTCAATATATCCTTATAATTCCCTCAAATAATGAATAAATCGCCTTTTAAACTTTAAATTTCTTGTTTAATAGAGCCCAATTGTGAGCGCAATGGTTGCATATTTTGTTTAATTTATTATTATTATTATTGATTTCCCGAATTGAATCATTTACACCGGATAAAGCAAAACCTTCTATTTTCTCTAACTTATATCTCACAACGGCCACCAGAGTTGAAATTTTAAGCAATAGATATTGAAGTTAAAAACGCGCAAAATCGTTTTTTAGATATATTCTAGGGCACATATCATGTTTTATCAAACACGGTTATTACTAAAGCAGTTTTGGGCCGATTAAGTCAAAATTAGTAGAGTTTGGGGTGGAATTTTTATTCCAGTCATCAATATTAATGATAATATTCACATTATGAAACAAAGATGTTGCAACCTTTGGCCCATAGACTGTGGGAGGCCAAGTGAAGGTAATGACATAGAACGGGAGTTCAACAGGGTGGACTCAGAGTTTGGGCTCTTTGTGATTACAGCTCAAAGAGGATGGTAAACTTCATCCAAGACCAAATACTGTCACGAGTCCGATAGCGAAAAAGTACCATGATGGAAGGTTGAAAAAAATTTAAAGGGAAAGTACATTAATATTGATGTGGCATGCAGGAAAACGGATGGTGCCAATTTGCGAACCCGGAGGATTCAGCTGTAGTGTATGAGCGTCAGGTGCGTCGAGAGGCCGGAGTATGATGTGATGGTCCACTCATCAGTTGTGAGTGGGGTGTAATCAGTGTGCTGACTGTCAAAATGCATTCTGGGTGTGCGCAGGAGCAAGCAAATCATATGTTAGGCCACTTAGCACATTCTCTAAGCGGTAAACTCTAAGACCGATAGGATTGTCAGATAGATCCTCATAAAATATTTTACGATTCTCTTTGTTTACAAATCTTCTTTTCTTTCAATTAGTTTAAATGAGCTAACTTGTTGGTTTATTAAAGATCCATGAATTTTTTATCAGCTCTTAATTGAAATCGACAATTTTAAATATTCACTGATTGAATTGTAATTGTATATCTGATAAGACATTTTATTTTCTTAAACTTTCATACGATTTTTTTTAAAAAATAGGGTAAAGTTTAAACAACTATCAGACTAATTTATTGAGTTTTAATCGAACGTATTAGAAACGAATACTTTATAACACTGGTACAATTTGCGAACATTTGAAATGTTTCGCGGTTTTGATACATTGAGCAGTAGATTGAAGGCTTTTAGCCCTATTTTGCGCTCCTACTGTGCAAATTTTGCAAAGTTTGATACTGGGAAAACAAAGCTTTCGCTAAAGGAGTTCCAACCTTTAGTCTTGAGCACAAGAAATTCCAGTCATGGACAGAAGACCATGGTTGTTCGTTCATCCATATTCATGAATGAAAAATATTATGACGACCTTGTAAGTACATCCTCTTTATTGATTTAAAGTTAGCATTTCTTTATCATGCTTGGCTTGGTTCCATGTGTGCTTGGTGCATTTATTATAAACATCGTTGTGGGGCAGGCTGAACTTGTCGAAACTCCTGAGGACTATGAACCGCGCTATTGGGAATATTACAAGGTAAGTTGCTTATATTATTGATTGTCGCAGCACCCTATTACTCGTTTCATTGTTCGGAATTTTATGTGGAGTCCTCAGCAAATCTACGAAAACCACCTCGCTTACATCAAGCGTCATATGGATTCTCAAGAGATCTTGTAATTATTATTTCTTTTTTGGTTTTTTTGCTAATTTACAGTTTATTTTAAAAAATTCGTTTGCCTTTTGTTCTAGGAAAGAAGAGAAGTGGTTCCAGCAGTCGGAATTGAAAAATCTCGACTATCGTGGTTGGCAATATATTCCGGTTAATCCTGCTGGTGTTCTTCGAGCTCATGAAGAGCAGCTTATTAACGAGGAGATGGGCGATTGTGTTCCGCGATAACTATTTCTGCCACTTCTTTTCACTCATTCAAAATTTGCTTATTGTTAAGGCCTTTAAGTCCGTCTCATTATTTGTAGTTAAAATAGTAATGTCTAAAAATACGTTTATATACTCTCATTTTTTGTTCTTTTTCGAACATGTTTAGTCATTTGGTTTTTATCTATTTCTTATGCTGCTTGTCATTTTTTGTCAAAATTTAGCTGATTAGTTCGATCTCTAAAGCTTTTTTATTGCTTATGAAACTCCCTTGACTTGATGTTAGTAATACTTATTTTAATGCATTTTGATATTACTTATTTTCAAATTGCCGCACTCCAATTTTACTCATTATTTATAGCTTGGGTATTAATCTCGCCTCACTTCTTGTGGCCTTGCGAGACTGATTTATCAATACCCATTTTCTTTCTTCCAATAAAATCGAATCAGTTCTCCCTTCTTGCTTAGTTGGTGATCAAGGTCAGCAAATGTTCTCATGCTCGACTTATGCGGCACACTTTTCTACCATCAATTGTTGGTCACTCATCTGCTTCTTCCAATCAGTCACTCTTCTTACTTTGTAATTCGTTATTGACTATCTAGGGACTCTGCTATGGGCCTTTATCTTCCCCAGACTTTAGGGTTAACAGCTTAATATTGTGGATATCTCGCATATCCCTTCTGCCACTAACTTTCTATTATCTGATGCCAAATGCTTTTGTAAATTTACGTCCGTTTTACTAACACCCTGAGCTAAGCTCTCCTTTCTCTGCACTGAATCATCTTTCCTATTGTCATAGTCATTTACTTTTTTCTCTCAAATATTTAAAAGCTTATCATTTGTGAAATTTTTAAATTTACCTAAATAAGCCAAATGGTAGGATTGCTACCTAGCATAATTTAAGTGATTGCCCGGTGTTCTGAGGACATTCTGAGTGGTATAATACGGTTTCTATTAAGTGGCATAGACATTATTTGCAGTCTGACGATTTTACAAGGAGCCTTCGATTTCTTATTTAAAGCTTAATTCCGCAATTCTTTACTAAACCTTGAAAGTTTTCCCACAGAAATAAATGTATCTTCTAAAAAATATAAGGCCAATGCTTCCAACTCATCTACCGTCACTTCTCCGTATCATTATCTCCTTTAATATAAGTCCTGTTGAGGTTGCATCCGTCAGAGATTGTGTATAAGTAACGAATTCCACGAATTTGTACCTAAAGTCATTCGGGAGTAAAGGTTACAAAGTTTTTTGTCGTTCTTTCATGGACAGCAGTAAAAAATCTACTTATTTCTAGGATATTTAAATTTCACATTATTAACACCATCATCGTTGGCAGCAAACACAATAAAAGCCAATTTTTAATCACGTGTTTGTGAGAGAAAGAGTTTGGGGGTACGTAAACGTCTGTGATCTTCGTTTCAGGAGTCTGGAGGTTGGCTCGGACGGGAGGGCCAGAAAGCAGCACATTCGTCATCGGGTCAAAAGTGTCAGAGAGTGATGAAACATGGCTGAAGAGTGCAAAGAAATGCGCAAAGGGGAAAAATTTCATTAACTGACCGAAAAGGAGGGGCATCATTGATAATACGCACATAGTAAGAGATTATAAGGAAGGGAAAGAGCCTTTAGGAAGCTGAGAATTTGGGTAGCGGAGTAGAGGGGGGGGGGAATTTAATTAGTATTTCAGTAGTTCTATATTTTTTCACAGCAGGAGTAGTGGTAGCAACACAAAATTGGCGCTATAGTCACACAGAGACAAAATGCACTTTCCACCTTAGAGCTTCAAATCTTCCGCCAATTTTTGTGAGATTCGTTTAAACTCAGAAGCAGGTCCGGTTAGCCTCTTGAATCGCACTCCATTCATCCCTTCTTTAGGGAGTTTGCATACTTCTAGCTCTAATCGAAGGATTTCTCCTGAACCAGATGTGTTAGTTGTCGGCAGGCCTGAGTCCAAATCCGTCTCTGGAGTAGTCCCACCTACAACCCATGTACAATGCAATCGATGAGGGTGATCGGTCTGGCTAAAGGAGACTCCGGATGCCAACAGGGCATGCTTAATTTCTGACATCATTTCATTTAACTGTCGACGAGTATTACTCTCCATTCGGAAAAGAACTCGAGCATTTCCACCAGCGCTATTACTCCCCCCTACTCCCGATTGAGTGGAGTGTTCAACGAGAGAATTCCGTGGTGCGGAGCTAGTGGAGGCTGAACGCGAATAGGCATTCGTTGTTGTGTTGGTAGGAGTCGTGTCCCGAGACCCACGGTCTTGACCTGAGGAGGCTGCCGTCTCAGGAACAAACGCTGATCTTCGACTAACGTGTTGCTGTTGATTTTGATCAGTTAGACTAATCATTCTTCCGGGTGATTTCGCACGACTTCCCGACACAGTACTTCTACTTCGAGTTATTCCTCCTCCTCCTGTTCCAATAGTTGTCAATCGATGAGAAGAGAGTTTGGGGGTCTGAACTGTCTCCGAAGATGGACTCGCACCCGGAACTCCACGAAGACTCCGAAGAGTTGAGAAGTCGGGTTGTGTTGGAATCTCAACTTCCTTCTGTTGCTGCTGTTGAGCTGTCGCCGATGAGTTGCCTCCACCATTTCCGAACGGAAGTCTGAAAAGCCTACTGAGAAGTCGAAAAAGAGGAGACGCTGTTAGATAAAATTATAAAGAAAGACGAGACTTATTAGCTAACTTACATCACACAAAGAAAAAATAAAACACCTAAGAGGAAGAGATCACCATATTGAACACTTGGCTATCCTACTAAAAGAACACGTTGTGCAGTGAGAAGTTATTTGCTATTTTTAGGGGGCTTTATTTAAGTGAAGAAAATTAGTTATATTTAGCTCTGATGGGGGGGGGGGGCTGTAGGTAAAGAAAATAGCAGTGATAACATACAGTCGAACTTTGATATAAGAAAGCTGGTTCCAGATTACTCAGAATAGGAGGAAAATCACCAATACAACCATCACATTTTGCACAAGCTCTTAACTCGTTGCGAGTGCTGTTTCATTTTTTTAAGCGTCATCTTTATAGGCAACATATCGCGTTCGAAAAAGACTGCCTCAACTTCATATTTTTTGGAAAAAGCATGAAATGGAATAACACCGGGCCTTTCCTGAAAGACGGTACGTGCTTCAGAAATCAGAGCCCCATAAACACCTTGGAACTCAATCATAGAACCTGTGGTCTGGATTTTGACACGATCATATTTGACGTTTTTTGTCCTAATTTGGGTATGTGTTAATACACTCATAAGCAAAATTAGGTGTCAAAATGTTTTTCAACCAAAATTTGTATGCTGATGATGCGTGGTGGCAAGGTTATGATGTTCAAATTGTACTACTATAAGCAGGTTGTGAGGAGTTGGGTAAAGTAATTCTCTTTGAAAACACTTCCATTGTGACCTGCCTGTCATTCAAGCTAAGAAGAAAAGCGATGAACAAGAGCGCAGTTAAAAGCAACATGGAAACAGTGACCATCAAAAAGGAAGAGAAACCATTCAAATCAATCGTCAGCACTTGTAGGGGGCACAAATTAAAAAAAGAAATAGACATCAATGAAGAGTGCAAAGGAAGAGAGAGAGGACACGAATAATAAGAGAACGCGAACACAGGTATTTATTCAACGGTTATAGGGAGCGGTTTACCTGAACTGGTCTAGTAGGGGGCTAAGAGAACAAATAGACGTTACTAAACTGCGATCGTGACAAAATCTCCTTCACCTGATAGAAGAGGACACATACCTCCTAGAGAACCTCATTGACAAGTTACGAAGGAATCCACCACCGCTACTACTGTTGCTAGTAGCAGTCGAAGTTGAGTTTGTCGACATCTTTCGTGAATCTGTCTTCGACATGGTAGATGCTCGCATTTTCGTGGCAACAGAGGGAGCATCTTGAAGACTTAGAGGGGTTCCACCTCGATTAAACCTCGAAGCTCGATTAAAGGTTGTCAGCTGATGAGTTGGACGACGCCTCGATGTTGACGACTCATCTCCATCCAACTCATTGCCACCGTAATCTAGAGGGTCGACGTCAAGGTCATAATCCTCGACAGCGTTCTCCGTGGTATCGTCGTCCCCGTCACCGAAGTCGTCTATAGAGGAACTTGTGTGTCCCGCGGTGGATGAAGCAACATTCTTAGCTGTTGTCGAGTTACTTGTTACGGAAATAACTGAGAGATCGGAGGGGCTTTGACGACCAGTTGTCTATATATGAGAGTTCAAACGTAAGAACAAGGAAAAAGAGTGAAATAAAGAGTTAGCTTGATGAACGAATGATTTAAAAGTCAAATTTATGGCAGGAATCAAAATAAGAGAAAGGAAAAAAGGATCGAAAAGTGCGCAGAAGCAGAAGAAATCATATTTAAAGTCCATTTTACAATAAATGAAACTTAGCACAAATCGTGTTGAAAGGTTCGATTGGGACTATATTTAGTCCCAAGAACAACTTAGAAAATTATAAATCCAAAGGACAAAAAAATAGAAGATAAACAATCAAGATTGGTCTAATTAAAATTGGGAAATTCATTTGGGGAAATCGGTTTTAGCTTATTGGCCAAAAAAGGAAGAAAACTACTTCTGTAAGGGAATACTTCTAAGGCTAACTTGCTCAGATTTCTAAAGTAGTTTCACTGATGAAACTTAGTGCTACCGATTAACTATATTTTGACATGTCTATCGGTCAAGTTAAAATTTTAAACAAAGTCCAAACAACGACCCCACTTTAATATAATCTCGCAAGACGAATTAAGTCACTCTTTTACCTTCAAACCTCGAATCTGGTAGTTAAGCGACTCTAGGATGGAACTTTAGTTTCCCAAGGCTTTAAGGTTGGAAAATTAATATTATAGACAATCTGGGCACTAGTAAATGACATCTAATTACCCTCTGTAATGCAAATAAGTTCAAAACCGTCAAATTATTCCAAAGTATGTAAGCCAATCACATAGCTAGTCACATTATAAGCCAATTGAATTTCAATACGCAGCCTACATGGGAAACGCCATGTGGCATCAGTATAAACAACTTAATTGAAGAAAAAGATCACCGGGCATGAGCTCATGAGTTTCGCTAGGGAAAATAAGGAAGCTTAGTGCGTTACCATAATTGGTTAATGATGTAGGATGGGGGAATTTAATGAGATGCGACGAGTTAGCTCCCAGAAATTATGAAGTTATAAGAGATTAGAGGGATTCAAGGAATTCCAACGAATCACTTTGGGTAAAAATTAAATGTTATATTTGACGACTGGCTTATTATATTTTTTTGGATAAAATGATGATGGAGCACACATAAAAACTGATCAAAGCAAAAGAAAGTAGCGCACAAATCCTCGACATCCTTTTTACCTCATCACTTAGCAGTTCAAGATACACATCTCTGAGATTTTCATAAGGTCGACTTGGCCATCCCGCCTGCTTTTCGAAGAGGTTAAAGGTTAAAAGTACATCCTCAAATACCTTTTATTCAAATGAAATAAAGCGATGTTTGTATTACCTGGGCATAAAAAGCACTCGTGAGTTTAAGAGGCATGGTGGAACAAATCGGCTGTAAATTTCAGACACCAAATTTAAATCTGTGCCATTTAAACATACTTAAGTATTAATTCAAAGTGTGACTCACGGAACTAGTATTTTGGGTATATAGATCTGCTAAAGTAGTTTTTTGATCCATATGGGCCGCAGTTCCAGGATGGCGAACAAGGGGACGAGACCACTGCTCAAGACGATCCCTAGTGTCCACAGCAGGAACATTTTGGATGGTGGATCGACCAGGAACATTGCGACCAAACGGAAGGAATAAACCGCCTCCAGAACGTCGATTGTCCATAGTAGACACTTCCTGGTTTGGAGTGGCAGGTTTATTGGTAGAGTTCTGGCCGCCTGCATTTGGGTGAAGATGAGAGACATAGGCACCAGAGGGAGTGGAATTGTTGGTGTTAGCGGTATAGAAACTAGAGGAGTGGGTGTCACCCATTGGAGGAGCACCATTGGTGGCAGCTGCCATAGCTACTGATCTCAGCTCTGCAGCTGTATCGGCTGGCAAGCTTTTGTTAAAAGAGAAAAATTTCACACGAGTTTGCGATAAATCTGAGTACCTAAAGCATTGGATGACTTAAAACTAAGCAAAACTATTGTATAAAGCTTCATGAAACTAAGCTATATGCTTACCCTGATCGGAAAAAAGATGAAAATCTTTGGCTTAATAAAATGCAATTCAATAGTCAGGTGTAAAATTCGCCTTCTTTGGGTTTCGTAAAATCTGACAAACGGTATTTCACTTTTAAAGCATAGAATGATTGCAAACGAACTCAAACTCATGACTTCATAGAGACTAAACATTGAAACATTATGTCCTATGTGAGCTGAATTAAACGGGACCACTACTTGCAATACCAACAAAGGATTTCAATTAATACATAGGGCAATAGCAGGTAACTTACCGAAGTGATCTATAACCAAGTGAAGAGTGATTTCTGGCGAATATCGACTGTCCAGCATTGCTATTTTTTCGACTAGCTCCAGCATTCTGCAGCGTATTTTCCAAGGCAGCTGTATTAATCAACTCATAGGCCTGTGGCCGGCTCTGCCCACTAACTGTAGCAGAGTTCACGGTCGCTTCATCTCGTCTTGACATGCGATCTCCAGGTGCTACAGTAGCATCAGATGCCCGTGGAGCAAGTATTGGAACACTAAAGTCCCCACCAGCATTGTTGTTGTTGTTATTGTTATTGGCGCTCTCTGTACCAGTCACTGTTGCAAGATAATCAATTTCTAAATGTACGTTTTACTTATAAATAGTTAGTAGAAAGGGGTTTAGGAGAGAAGATTAGCACTCACGGATATTGCGATGGTTGAATGAGGGGCGTTTGGGGACATTTTGATGACTTGTGGGTGCTGGGCCAATACGAGAACTGCTATTTCTCGATTCTAAAAAGCCAATAAAAATGTAAAAGAAATACAATACAATGGAGATAAAATAACCGAGTACTTGGATGGAAATGGGGAAATGATCGAATATAAGAATTTATCATCTACTTGATTGCAGAGCACTTTTCTTTCCACTCAAAATAAGAAATGTTCCCAATAATACATTCAATCCAAGAATTAATGACCCGAACGTAAAGAAAAAAGTGTACGAAAAGAGAGAATGCTATTTAATCTCCACAGTAAATAAATATGAGATGAAAAGGGCAGAAAAGGGCGCAGTAATCACCAAAAAGCAAACAGAAAAGTATAGAAGCAAATGAACTCACCTAATCGATAATAATGTGCTGCAAAGAGAGGGGGTGTGAATTAAAAACTGTCGCCAAAAAATGTTTGAGTTCATGCCAATTTTCTCGCTTTCTTTCTTAACCCGATTTTATCATAAAATGGCACAGATATGTTTGCCAACATCAATCAACTCTAACAACAATCATAAAACACCGCATTTAGACCGACATATCATCTGAGGTCATTCTACCTGTAACTAATACTTTTTTGAAAAGATACCGCTGAAGAAATTAACCTAATTCAATACATGAAATCGGTTCATATTATAATCCAAACTTCACAAAATTTCATTGAGATTATCGTCTTTTTGAGATAGCCATTACGACATGGCATTGGAAGAAATTGAGAACTGCGGGTGTCCATTCAGAAAAGTTGGAACACTTAGAAGCAATTAGACTTACTCTGAAGGAACAGAAAGTCAATTTCGTAAAAACATGAAAATTAAAGTATGATTTTTTCTAAGATTAAATCATCTGAGGGATTATTGATTCTAAAAGACAGTAAAAGTTTAATTATGGTTCAGAAATAGAGAAAACAATTATTGGATTGAAAAATACGATGATTTGGCTGAAGTGAGCTAGTTGAAAACTCAGGTCATGAAAACTCCCGTTTATTAATGCTAACTATTATTGAACAGTCAGAATCGCAAGAAATGGAAGGTTTAAAAGGTCCTCCACACAAGATTGATTTTAAATCCAAAGCTAGATGAAACGGTTTTAATTCTACCAAATTAGTACAGCGATAAGTTTTCGGAACTTCAGAAATACTATAAAAAATCTCCTATCATCAAAGAACAAGATGAAGACAAGATGTTTTATGATTACCAAAAAATATTTGCTTAGAACCCCCAGGTATTCTATAGGTTCAAGGGATAATGACAAGCTTCTTTGCAAACATGGTCAAGCGGATCTCCGTTTAAGGATAATCGAAATGAACAAAGAAAATGGTGAAAGTACGTTAAATGACCTTGTTCATAAACGGATTTTTGAAGCATTAGAAGCCTCTGAAAATAGATAAGAATCCCCCGAACTCGACGAAAACACGAGTTAAGTGACTTTCAGCAGGTCATTCAAAATATTACGAAGTAGTAGGCCCCCAAATCAAGCACAATTTAGCAAATGCTTTATTTTTGCTAATATTCCACAAAAATAGATAATTCTACTCTTTTGTCAAGAAATTATTAATTTTCACCCAACTTGGATAAAATTGGGCATCAAGTGTAGTGAAGTCATGATTCAACAGAAATTTAACGAACACAATTTCACGACAGGAATTAAATTGATTTATTGCCTACTGGATTCACTTCGGGCATCTGGATTTAGTAAAGGCAACCTGATCAATCCTGTAAGTACCCTCCCACTCTTCAATCATGTCTCTCATTGGCTCAATATTATAAAAAGCCACCATTTACCATGTTGCCAGATATATGGGAAATAATTCTACATATTGAATAAATACTCAAGTTCTCTACATAGGTTGAATGTGGTACTCGCCTAAAACATTGCCTATAGAAGGATCAGTTGTACTACTAGATGTAGTGATAGCAGTGGTGAGGTTCTTTGTTGCCGTTGTTGTCAAGGCTTTTGGTGAGGGGTCTTGGGGGGCGGGAGAGGAGACGGGGGAAGTCTGTTGACGTTTCAGGGTTCCAGAAGTGTTCGGAGCTGGAGAATTGGAGACGTTATTCACATCATCGTTGTCTGACGTTACTAAGGGAGCATTTGGCAGAGTGGCGTCAACTTCTGTTCCACCTCCGCTTCCTACTGGCGTTGATGAGGAACTTTTGTTCTGACCACCTAGAACACCAAAAGGTCTCAGTCATCTCCACGTTCCCAGAAAGTCTAAATACCTTTATCTTGTTTTGAGCAAAGAGAGCTCAGCTAGCAGTCTATCTATGGAATATTTTTAACCAGCATCGGTGGCACCCGAAAACAGGTTGAGCATTGATATTAAATCCTCTTTTAATTTTAACTACACACTAACCGTCTCCTTAAGTAACTGCCTATTAAGTAAATCGATTGAGTATTGCTTCATTAAATAAATCCGCACCGATAGATTTGTAACCACACCCTCTATCTTAAAATAAATCAATCTTTATGAGGTGAACGAATTTATAAATATCACCTGTAATTTTTACCTGGAAGAGGCAACCGTCATTATGTTTAGAGTAATGGCAACAAGAGATTAACAATTAATATCAATAATTTCGAAAAAGTAAGGTGTGAATTCGTCAACTGAGGTGATTAATTACACACCTACGTTGTAAGAGCGATTCAGTGATAATTTGAAATCACAAAGCAATAATTTATTTACATATTTTTTATTTTAATTTCTCCGTGTAGTATTTGCCTAGTTATACAGTTTAGATTACTATATACTAAAATATGGCTCCTAGGGGAAATTAAAAAGCCATTTCTAAAACCCATCTTGAAAAGAATTATTATGAAGCCGTCCTCAGAGAAACTCAAATTCTTACTTAGCCTAGCTAGAAGAGCCATTCTGATAAACGATTAAATTTCGGAAGTATCGACCGCTAAATGGCATTTAAGCGCAATTGAACAATTTTGTGAATAGCCAAATTGAGTTGAAAGAAGAATGCTTAGGAAGTGTCTGAGTTTTCGTGCACCGAAAATAGCATTTAGGATGAAAAATTGTTGTGCATGAGACGCTCTCTTGAATTACACATTGGATTACTCATTATTCTCTCACGCTTGGAGGTGCATTAGGTAGATAAAATCGCGATGTCATTAAGGACATCTAAAATTAGAAAATGACTCAGATCAGCAATAATTAAAAAGGTGACCTGAATTCGAAACCATCTATCTAAATACAGAGCACGTTCGAAAACGGCTTCAAGATCCAAATCATTCTGGACCGATTGAAACAAAACTGTTAAAATCAGTAGAGCTCATTCGCTCAATAGAAGAGCCATTTGCCATTGAACAGATTCAAGAAAATAAAACTGTCTACCTATTTGAGTGTAAATTCTACTCCTTCTCTTGCTTTGAATTACTTAAATAAGCTTTCAATGTTTGCTCTGCAATTGAGTTTATACACAACAGGGGCAAATCAATAGAGAGAAAAGATAAATTGTAGAAAACAACGTCCCCTCAGGCGACTGGGAGTAATGCGCATAGCTAACTACAGCAGTCGTGGAGGATGGGACATGACTGACATCGCAGGGAGAAACGATCGTACATATAAAATGGATTATGCAGGAGGGGAGGAGGAATTTCAAATCATCTTAGTGCTGTCTAGGTACTTAAGAGGAACATATAAATCGTTAAATAGGCCTGCTTCAGCATTTCATAAAATTTGACGGTAGAGCACACGATTAGTAATTCCTACTGCCAATCAGGATATCCTCAAGGCTAGACTAACAATAAACCTAGAATGGCTAAATGCCAGTACCAGGGACCCAAACTATCAGACCCAATGGGAACGAACCAAGCAACCCTATTTATCATAGGTACAGATAAGGTTGCTGTTTTAAAAGAAAGCTGATTAAAACTAACACATGCTCTTAATGCTAAATTAAAGACAAAATGCGCAAGAGATATAAAGATTATCAAATGGAGAAAATGCAGCAGATATACAGAGTGTCACTTCAATGAAAAGGCAAGTATAAATAGGCCAAACGATACTAACAACAACCACATTAAAATACTATTCTGCAGTAAGAGCCTGATCTACATAAAGATCACGAAAACATACTCAAACTCTACTCTATTTGAATAAGATTTCATTAACCACACTGTTACTAACTAGATATCCAAAAGAAGAAACTATTTGCATACCTGCTGAAGGAGTTGAAGGGACACAGCTTTTCCTATAGCCCTCATTTCCATAACTGTTAACACTACTACCACCCTCCACATTTGAATATTTTCTAGCAGTCGCGGGAGTAGCATTCTCATTCGACTGACCAGCTGTAGAAGAGATGTTGGGAGCATGAAAAGGTCGTCGGA